GTAAGTCAGCTCCAAGTGTTTTAGATGCATTAACTTATTTAACCCTTGTGTTAGACTGGGTTCTCTAGAGAAACAAAACCAGTGAAGCTTATATATATGTATATATATAGAAATTTATATTAGGAAAATGGCTCACACACTTATAGAAACTGGCAAGTCCAAAGTTCCTGGATCAAACGTCAAGCTGGAGGCTTTTCCTGACTCTTGTAGCCACAGGGGCTGAGAAGCTCAAGGCTGGCAGGCACTATACCGGCTGTTGATTCCAATGAATGATGAATCCAAGATCTCCAGGCCAAATGGTGGACTGTTCACTCACGGACAGTTGTAGGCAGCACAACAGAATCCTGATCCACAGAAGAATGTCTCTCTTCCCAGGATGTCCTTGGATATACTGGAAGCAGGCCACACCCCTAGGGAAACTTCCTTTCAACAGATTGCCTACTCAAAACATAATCATCTGATCCCATCATGGGAATAACCACATCACAACAGTTTAAACCACACACAATTGTGGTCCAGCCAAGTTGACACACAGCTCCAACTATCACAACTCTCAACAGAAATCCTAATAGGGAACATGCTGCTATAATTCCTCATAGATGAGGAAACTGAGGCACAATGAGTCATAATAATTTGGCTGAAGTTCTACAGTCTGCAAAGTGACAGAGCCAAGATCTGAATGCATGGAGTTTGATCAAGCCAGAATCTACATATTCAGCCATTCCCTTCTGCTGCCTCCTTCCATCATGGGTTGTTTTGGTTACCTAGTACTGCTCTGACAAGAATATACCACAAATGTGATGGCTTGAAGAAACAGGAGTTTATTCTGTTACAGTTTGGAGGCTTTACATCTGAGTTCAAAGTGCCAGGCTCTAGGGGCTGGGTGAAAGCCCCTCAGCCTTGCTTCAGCTCTGCCTCTTGCTCCTGGCCCACTGGAGCCAGAGGCTTTTCTTTATTCAGACAGCTGCTGGCTGCTGAGGCTGACAAGCCCAAGGTCAACAAATAAAATGGCGCAGTCCTGATAATACCAAACCACATGGCAGGTCATTAATTCAAGTCCATTGAAAGTCCCAAGGTCAGCATAGCATGGCAGGCTGCTGAACAATGACATGGATACATGCAGGGTTGAAGCATGCCATAAGCTAGAGACCATCCCCAAAGCTGTTTATTATACACGGGAAACAGACCACTTCCCTAAAGCAGCTACTCAGATGCTTGTGGTAGGTCCTACCATGGAGCTGATTGCCAGTCTCATCATGAGGAATAACTCCCACCAGCTGCCCAGCCACTCAACCAGGCCCAGCCAAGCTGATACACAAATTTAACCACCACACGGATTGTGCTTATGTAGTGAAGAGTGCGGACAGCCTCCCATAGATTTTGAAACACTAATACCTTCCAGGGCTTCTAGCAAATACATTTAAGGATAGGTCAAAACATGCAAAGCACTCAGTACTGCATATTATTGTTATTGTTGTGTTCTGTGAAGCAGCTTTTGACTCATAACCACCCTATAAAGCAGAGCAGAACTGCCCTATAGTGTCTCATAGGCTGTAATCTTCATGGGAAAGGAGCCTTGTGAAGCGATGCTTAAGTGCTTGACTGTTAACTGAAAGGTTAGAGATTCCAACCCACCCAGTGGGTCTTTGAGAGAAAGGACCTGGCAATCTGCTCACATAAATATCACAGTATGAAAAACCCTTCAAGGAGTTCTGGTGGCACATTGCCTAAGGTATTTGACAGCTAACCAGAAGGTTGGTGGTACAAACCCACCAGCCATTCTGCAGAAGGAAGATGAAGCAATCTACTTCTATAAAGATTTATAGTCTCAGAAACCCTAGGGGGTAGTTCTAGTCCCTCATATAGGATCACTATGAGTCAGAATCAACTTGATGACACACAACAACAATGACAACAACAATCACCTTTATAGGAGCAGATTGCCAAGTCTTTTCTCCCACAGAGCTGCTAGTGGGTTCAAACCACCCACCTTTTCAGTTAGTAGCCCAGCGCTTAACCATTGCACCACAGAGCCTCCTTCATGTATTGCATAGGGAACATAATTCTGATTCAATACATGGATTGGTGAAATTCACAGGAAGTCAGTTTGGTAAGAACAAGTATTACAGAAGAACACAAGTGGGGAGGGAAAAGGATTGAAAATCACTGAATGAAAAACTACATAGCCCAGAGAGGGCTTCAGTGATCACACGGAAGAGATGTTAAATTTGTACACAATTTTGAGTTACAGAGTTTGGTAGAATGTGTGGAAGATTTAGAAAGCAGATTTTGAAAAAAGAAAAAGAATATGAGGATGAGTTTTTTTTGACCATGTAGAGCCATAGAACAAAGATGTAGTGGCTTGAATTGTGAGGTAGTAAGCAGCCCATCACTTGGACGTACCCAAACAAATGAAGGTTCAAAATGTTCAGCCTATATCGGCATGTGGTGGGGGTGCTTCTGCATGGGGTGGTCTCATATCTAAGGTTTCTACCAACTCTAAGGGCCTACACTTACCTGATCTTCACTCCATAAGTCATTTCTGAGTTTATCCAGTTGCATTTCAGCACATTCTCCACTGCCTCTCCTGCCACCCCCTTTTTTAAAACCAATTATGGGTATCCAGTTTCTCTTTATTTTATAAGTCTCAGTACTTAAAGAAAGGACTGGGTCAGGGTGGAAAATTAGATGCAGACTAAAGCTTTAAGACCATTACAGTGCTTGTTCAAGGCCTGGAAATAGCTTTAAAAAGTCATCAGTTCCCTACTCTCCACCCTTGGAATACACTTGCTTGCCTACAGTCTCTCCAATCTGGCCCTTACAAATACCCACTTCCACAAGCCTGGGCAGATCAGGAAGGACAGGACATGTAAACTGCTCTTTCAGACCAAGGTCCTACTTTAATCATTTTGCTTTCTTTGGTTTGAGGAGTACAGCATCTTTCTTTTCTTTTATGGCTGCCTTAAAATTACCCAATAACATTCTGTTATTGTGGTCAGCTGCCTTCAAGTTGGCTTCCTACTCATGGTGGCCCCATGCACAACAGAGCAAAAATCACCCACTACTGCACCATCCCTAGGAATGGCAGAGGATTGGACACTCGTGATCCATAGGATTTTCACGAGCTGATTCTTGGAAGTAGATTGTCAAGTTTTTCTTTCTAGTCCATCTTAATCTAGAAACTTTACTGAAACCTTTTAAGTATCATAGGAACACACCATTGACAGATGGGTAACGGCTGCACATGAGACTCATCAGCTAGATATTGAACCTGGATCTCCCACATGGAAAGAGAGAATTCTGCCACCAAGCCATTAAGAATCGAGTATCATCCTTGAAGAGTCATTGGTACATAGGACAGAAGCAAGTGTGGAAAAGCATCAAATGCTGTTGCCTTGCACAGATGCTTGGGAGGGTGGGTTCATAGAAAGTTTAAGAAATTTTCTGAATTTAAGAAAATATTTCCACAGGAAGGTGGGGAATCTAAGCAAAGTGGATCCATTTCTCCCCAATCTGGCCAGTGATCATGGTTGAGGAGGCTGCTTTGCCCTATGTTTTATGCTGGACTGTGCAAAATAAACAAACAGTGTGCATAAAGAGCACTAATTGCCTCATTTATTCTTCCATTTAGCCAGGGGAACATCAGAGCTTATTCAACCTCAGGATGGAAAATTACATGTTGGAGAGAAAATAGCCACATTAAAGGAATGACAATGCAATTCAGGCTCTACTTGTTCACATATTTTATTTATCCAGTTCAGAAAACAATAAAAGACAGAACTCAAAGGTGTCACAGATTCTGAGAGAATACCAAGGTCGCATCTTCCATTTTCCTCAGTCTACTTGAAATCCACAGAGTAAATAAAAGTACAAAGGTATGGGAAGAGCAATTTGTGGAGAATAAAACTTCTTATTTGAGAAAGGAAACCCCTTTTAAGGTTAATATCTACTCAGGGACTTCTTATCTGAGGATGGCTTACTTTTGTCTTTATAAAAATATGATAGCATTATATAAACTGCTGGGGCGGGATATGTAAGGGTACATAGCATGGCAAGCTGCTCACTTGGTAGCTGTCTGGGAGTCTGGGCCTGAATGAATCCACTGTAGGGAACATCCCTGGGGGAGAGACATTGTGATACACGGCAAAAAAGGGGCCTCATATGTTTGATCAGGGAGGACCCTCAGACATCACAGCCCAGAACTCTCATTTAATGGGGAAATTGAGGCCTAGGGATATAATTAAATGATTTTCCCAAGGTCACACAGCTAATTACTAGTAGGAACTTAGATTTCCTGACTTTTCTTTCAGTGTTATGAACACTGCCTAAATGGATACTCCTAATACTAATATTTTGTTTGTTTCAAGAATCTAGAGTTGGCAATTTTAGCTTTTTAAATGAAAACAAAACAAATAAAACCCAGAGAAAACCAAAAGATTTGTGGAGAACTCTGACAAATCTGTATGCAATATCAGGAACTCCATGTCAAGATAGAGTTAACAGACTAATGATTGGGTCAAAATCAGGGAACTCCACTTTTCTATGCACACACATGATAATCTCTTACACATAGTGAGACAGGAACGGAAGACAGCACCAAGCAGGAAAGGTTAGAAAAACTGATCTTATAAAGTAAAACAGACCACATTTGCCATTAGGAAGCTTGGTCTAAACTGTTGAGCATTTTCAAATAACACAGAAAATGACACAAAGTCACGATAAGTGGGAGGGATATTCCAGAGGGGTTCCTGATGGGCACACAGGAGCATCTGTCTGAAACAGTTGGATGTCTGTGCACAGATAGACACATGATATCAACCTTCACCTTCACCAAAGGCCCTGAACTGACTGAATGAGGCTAAACTCGTTTGCTGTGCTGCCCACAGCAGAACACGGCATGGGAGCAAGTGAATGCCAAATCCTCATCGTCTCAAAACTGGTCTTCTCCTGCTTAATCATGTGCATAAATTACTGTGGGGAAGAGTGGAGTGAAAACTGGTTCAGGTTGCCGATATAGGCTGGACATTTTGAACCCTAGTCAAAGTGACTGGAATCTTAGTTTCCCCTGGGCCCGGAGCTTTTGTAATGGGCTGGGTGTGGGCTTTGATGTCTGCTATTCGCTCTTTAAACTTTTGCTGGAGGAATTTTTCTTCTTTGGAGTAGTTTTTGGCAAACACCGACATGAGCAGGCACCCCGCCATGGATGTGCCTCCAATGCAGAAGAGTATTGCACCTGCCAGCTTGCAGGTGTCAAGGGCACCGTTAAATTGGACAGCATGTGTGTCGACCACCACAAAACCAGCTTCGCCAAAGGCTTCAATTTTGGGTGGCACCAGGAAGCCCACTGCCAGAACAGTCAATCCAAGAATTACAAAGACTGTGCCCAAGATGAGTCCGACCTGATGAAAGACCAAGAGAAGAAAAATAGAATTAGCAAGGTGCATCAGCTTTTCTCTGAGCCCTTAAGAGCAAGACTTGTTTTCCAAGAGAAGTGGATACTCCTTGTCACTTCAAATTCTCAGGGAAAATTTAGTTTATTTTCTAGTTAGAAAAGGTAAAAGGAAGGCCTTCCTGATTTTGATGCCAATCAGAAACAGCAGCATTGAATCTTGATTTTCCATTTTTGTTTTCTATTTGTACAATGTTTTAAAGTTGGCAAAACCACTCTCTTGCTTACATTGTTCCGTGTCATCTGGAGAAGGAGCAAAACAGTGCTGATACCCATGAACTGGCCTGACTCTGATCACTAGGCTTCAGTGTTGGTAGAAACCATCCTGGCACTCATAGCCAGCCCCTGGGGTTCTCCTTTTGGACCTAAACAGTCTCCCAGAACATCAATACCAAACAAGTCACTCTGTGACCATGATGGAGTGAGATAAAACAAGACCACTTTGTAGTTTTGTCGAAGTGCAGACAAAAACAAAGTCATGGTACAAATCACAAAATACCAAACACCTCCCTCTCCTAATTAATATGAGTGACTGCTGTGTCTTTACTAACTATAGCTTTGTTGTTGTCATAGGTTGCCATTGAGTCATCCCTGACCTATGGTGACACACGTATAGAAGAATGAAACACTGCCTGGTCCTGTACCATCTTCATGATCACTAATATGCTTGAGTCCATTGTTGTGGCCACTGTGTATTCTGAGTGACTTCCAACCTAGAGGGATCATCTCCCAGCAATACATTGGGCACATTCCTGTTGTGGTCAACGGCATTCATTGGCTAATTTTTGGAAGTAGATCATTAAGTCTTTATAGTTTGTCATAGTATGGAAGCTCTAGTGAAACACGTTCATCAAGGGTGATCCTGCTGGTATTTGAAATACTGATGGAGTAGCTTCCAGCATCATAGCAATATGCAAGCTGCTACTGTATGAGAAACTAACAGACAGGTGGAGGGATTATAGCTTTAGTCTTGCTCTAGTGTGCCCTTCCTATTTAAGATTCGGAAGCTCTGGTGGCATAGTACCTAAGGCATTTGACTGCTAACCAGAAGGCTGGCGGTTCTGAGATGTCCAATCATAGAATTGTCCCTGATTCCCAGTAGCACCTAACCCAAAGTGAACTTCTGCTTCCTTAAACTATCCCCCAAATCACCCAACCAAAGCCTCCATCCTATGTCTTTCCTCACACCCTCTTACTGAAATCTATTGTCACCTATAGTACTGTTCTTCCTCACTGCAACAGATAATCAACCCAAGTATAGATGTGTTTTTGGTGATTTTGGCTACAGAACATTGATAGTCTTTAGAACTACTCATTTTCCTTTACCACATAAACAGGGAAGGAGTCATCGTTGGTAGTTTACCATTAAGGAAATGTAGCCTCATGGAGTAGGCCATTTGTCCATTGATGGACAAAGCAAGTTGCAGCTTCATGGCTAGACACTCCGGATCTGACCCCCAGGCCAGTGTTCTCACTCCTCTAACATACAGCTATTTGGGTTGTACTTGTACAGATGCTTCAAATTGTCAATAGTAGCAGATGGAGCCATGACATCACTAGGGAAGTATAGGGAATATGGACTGTATTGTGGTACACTGTCAGAGGGGGTGATACCAAAATGACTGCCTATAAAATTTTTGTGCAGTGTTTCAGCAGAAATGTATTATTTTTCATAAAAATATTCCTTAATTAGTTATAATAACAATTTTTAAAGCCCACTGTTGTAGTTATTTAGTGCTGTGATAACAAAAATACTATAAGTGGGTGACTTTAACAAACAGAAGTTTATTCTCTTGCAGCTTAGGAGGCTAGAAGTCCAAATTCAGAGTTCTGCAGGAAGGCATTCTCTCTCTGTTGGCTCTGGGAGAAAGTCCTTGCCTCAACAACTGTGGTCCCAGTGTCCCCAGGAGATCTTCATTTTCTTGGCATCAATCTTCCCCTGGGTCTAGAAGATACTCAGCACAGGGACCCTGGGTCCAAAGGACATGCTCTACTCCTAACTCTTCTTTCTTGGTGTTAGTAGATCCCTCTTATCTCTGCTTGTTTGTTTTATTCCTTTTATATCTCAGAAGAGATGGATGCAAGATACAACTTACTCCTGTAGATTGTATACTACCTCATTAACATAACTGCTTCTAATCCTGCCTCATTAACATAATAGAGGTTAGGATTTACAACACATAGAATAATTACATCAAATCACAAAATGGAGGATATTTACATAATACTGAGAATCATGGCCCAGCCAATTTGATACATGTTTTGGGGGGACACAATTCAATCAATAACATTCTACCCTTTGGCCTCTCAAAATTCATGTCCTTGCCATACGTAAAAAACACATTCACTCCATCATATCCCAAAAGTCTTAAGTCAAGTCCAAATGCAAACTCTTGGGACAAAATGCTTTTTCTGTGAAACTGTGAAATCCTTTGAGGCTGAGGCAGCTCTGCAACCCGTTTTCCTTATCTCTTCAATTTCTGCTTCTTGGTTCTTCAGTCTTTTAAAGAGGCCAGCCTCTACTTGGGCAAGAGTTACAAAGCTCCTTAGCTCTACTGATGCCCAGTGTCATTCCACTCCATGAGGAAGCTTCTACCCAGAGGTACTAACCTCTTTTCCTTTGTGGGTTGGCTCCTGTGCTGTCTTGTACCAGTCTCCTGGTTCTGGTGCTGCTGTTTCTCTGCCTCTGCTTCTCACTGTCTGCACCATCTGTGGTGTTATAGCACTCCTCACTTACATCTAAGCTTTCATAATAATTGCCTTTGATGTCCATAATTCCACCAACAGTCTTTTCAAGGCAATCTATATTTTACTAATAGGAATCTTAAAGCTCTTCTAGCTTCCCAGGTATATAGTGGAGCTGACAAGGGATAAGGTTGTAGTCACTTCTACAGCCAACAGCCAACACAGCCAACTACCTGAGGGACTGAGTAGTTGCAGGGGACATCAAGTTCAATTGGCATAACATCCTACACAAAAACATTCTTCCACATCTTACTCTGGCAAGTAGCGACTGGGATCTTAAAAGCTTACAAGCAGCCATCTAGATGCAACGATAGGTCTTTGCTTGCCCAGAGCAAAGAAGAATGAAGAAAACCAAAGATGCATGGAAACAATTAGTCCAAGGGACTGGTACATCATGCGATCTTCAGCCTATAGGACTATGAGATCAGAAGAACTAGATGGTGCCTGGCTACCACTGTCAACCACTCAGAGGGAGATCTATGTAGGAGATCCTGAATAGAGTGGGAGAACACAATGTGGAAAAAACACAAAATATAAAAAAAAAAAAAAAAAAAGAAGGACCAGGTTTGCTATCTAATAGAGCCTCGTGGAACTTCTGAGACTATGACCCCTAGCTGCCATTCATGTCTGGAATTGAACTCACTTCTGTGGCTTCCAGCCAAACAATAGACAGGCTTGTGAGCTGAACATTTACATTAGGTAGACACACTCCTTGGAGAGATCAATCACGGGAGAATAGACGATCTGTGTATGCACAGGGAGTAGGAGTGCATAGGATGGAAGGACACAGGGAAGAGGTGACTATGGAGAGGAAGTGGGAAGGGAGCTGTTGCATTGTGGGAAATTGCAGTCAATGTCATGAAACAATGTATGTGAACTGGTATATGGAAAATGAATGTGCTCTCTGCCGTTGAGTTGGATCCGACTCACAGTGACCACTCCTTGGGTTTTGAGGCAATATCACTATGGAAGTGGATTGCCCCATCCAATTCCTCAGGAAGATGGGCCAATCTACTATCGTAGTGATGCTGCCTTGGAAACCCAAGGAGGGGTTACTGTGAGTTGGATCCAACTTGACGGCAGTGAGTTTGTTTGCTTTTGTTTTTTTTTGGTCTTTGAACTTTCACCGAAATCACACACACACACACACACACACATACATACACACAAAAAACTCTTAGCGCTTCTACCCATTACCCAATTCCAAAATTGCTTTATATATCTGCTAAAGCAGCACCCCAGTCTTCTGGTACCAAATTCTGTCTTAGTTATCTAGTGGTGGTATAACAGAAATACCATAAATGGATGGCTTTAACAACAAATTTATTCTTTCACAGTTTAAGAGGCTAGAAGTCCAAATTCAGAGCATTGGCTGTAGGGCAAGGCTTTCCTTTTGTCAGCTCTGGGGGAAGGACATTGCCTCCTTTCAAAATTTATGGGCCCAGCATCCCTGTGTCTTGGCATCAATCTCCCCCTGGGTCTAGGAGCTTCTTAGCACAGGGACCTTGGGTCCAAATGACATGCTCTACTCCTTGCTCCTTTTCCTTGGTGTTAGTAGGTCCCTCTGATCTCTGCTTCCTTGTTTTGTCCCTTTTATATCTCAAAAGAGATTGAATCAAGATATGATTCAATCCTATAGATTGCATCTTGCCTTATTAACGTAACTTCCTCTCTCCTGCCTCATTAACATCATGGAGATGAGGATTTACAATATAGAATAATTCCATTGAATCACAAAATGGAGGGTAATTACATAATAGTGTGAATCATGGTCCAGTGAAGTTGACATACATGCTTTTGGGACACAATTCAATCCATAACAAACAGCTTACATGTATCAACGTACCTATAAGGCTAAAAGTCTATGGTAATTTATTTTTTGAATCTTGTTATGCATTCTGATCACAGCTGTCATTATTACCTAACTGCAAATGATGCTTCAAATCATGTGGTTTCATATCAACACACTAGAAGCACGTGCTGTTTTCCATTGCTATTGGTGTGTTTTTATGTATGTTGATTTCATCAAATTTTCTGGTGTCTTAGCTATAGTTGTTGTTAGGTGCCATTGAGTCTATTCTGACTCACAGTGACCTTATGTACAACAGAATGGAACACTGCCCTCTCCTGTGCCATCCTCACAATCCTTGTTATGCTTGAGCCCATCTTTGCAGCCACTGTGTCTATCTATCTCATTGAGAGTCT